TTCTGATATAATATTGAAATAAACTGTATTTTGAAAATCTTTCAAACCTTAAGAACATTATTATATTTAATATTAGCCCGTTTAAGGATTGACAATTACTGGACCAGCCTTTTATCCTGCTTTCTCAAAATACACAAATGTGTTCACTTTGGAGCAAGTCAATCGTTGTCAGCAGCCAATTTACATACCGAATATATAGGCCTATCAGAAATTTGCAATGATGCCGGCTCTTTCAACTCGTGGGCTATATTACCCTGACATTAATTGCCGTCGGTCAGTTCAACTATTTTACGATCTCACGACGAATTTTATTTTACCGTATCACGATGAAATTGGCAAACAAGTTTATGATATAAATCGGAGTTTTATTACTATTTAGTAATTAGTATTAGGCCTACACAGATTCAGATTGACTGACTTGTTCATTCATTTGATTTGTGTGTTTACTGTTTGGTCGTACGTGGGTTTTTGTCCGCTTTTTTGTCTTGTGTAATTGTTTATGTGTGGTGCTATCAGGGATCGAATTTGACGGACGCAAACATGCAAAATACGTGTTGATTTTGTAGACTGCGTGTTACAAAATATGTCAAACGAAAAAAAAATGCGGGTAACATTTTTTCGCTTATTGTTACTGGATACGATTATTCAATAAATAAACAATATACACACATATCATAATTGACCTTTTTTTGTGTTCGACCATCTGTCCTTTCATTATTGTCGTTATATTCCATCAAACAAATTCCGACATCGGTGAAAAATATACGTTATTGGCGAATGGCTTTCACACGACACAAACAGTTTTAATAGTAAAAAAACACGGACCGTTTTGATTTTTCTGGATGATATTTAACATAAGTATTGAAAAAATGTTTTCCTTTTGATGTTATTCACGATATTTTATTGTTTAATGATGAATAAATAATGTTATAAACTCCTGAGTATTCAGTTGCAAATGCCGATAAAAGAGCTTTGTTTACGTCACGTGACTTCTCGCTCACTTTTCCACCCGTTAGCATTATCCCTGTTATACATCTTGACAAATTGTTTATACCGATACTTTGATTTTCCAAAGGAATCATTGATTTTCAGATTGAAATAGATTTTTATAATGCAGAAATATAAATAATGCCAACATTGCCAACTATATATTTTGAGAGTTCCGGTAGACTGATTGATTAGTGATTATCATTCAGCGGACGTGCGGTCCGTGATCCGAAAAATTGCTATTTCAATGGGTACTGTTTGACATAGTACTTATGTTTTATAGTTTAATTTACTATCCTTGTATTATATAATGCATCTTGAAGAAGGTGTACGCTTGAGTGAGAAAAAACGAGTTTTCAAGGGTCGCCATAAAAATAAATATGCACGGACGAAAGAACACAAACTTTTTTTTTATGATTTTTGTGCCTCCGCCAAATGTAAATATTTTAAATTTAAATAAAATATTATAATTAATATTTTGAAAATTAAAACTAATAAACAACAACTTTTGCAAGTTTGTAAATTTTGTTTGTAAATTCAGTACTGTATGCTAAAAATAATATTGACTAGAAATAATAATATTGACTAGAGAGTGTCAAGTGAATACTCCAGGGGTATTCCCAACTTTTTCTGCATATTTATTTACATTTAAAAAAAAACCCTGATAAACTAAAAGTATTGACATTTTATAAAATATTGCAATATAGTGATTATATCGCAATGTTTTCAGGAATATCGCCCAGCTCTAGTGTTGAGGGCAGTTTTGTGTGTTCATTCTTTGGGTTTTATTAGCCATTAGCCTTGCCACGTACCACCGGGGATTCGAAAACACGCCAGTTGACTCAATGACAGACTTTGTGGTACAGCGCGCACGTGTACCAGTTGACAAGCTAGTAGTAATTAGGTACTAAGTAGTAGGCCTGATGATATGCTATTACGTTGTTGCAACAATCATGTGTAACTGTAATTTGTATTGTTATTGTAGTTTGTAGAAGAATTAAATTTACACAACACGACAACTAATCCCTGGCAGACCCTGATCGGATCCTGTGTTGACTAATTTCTTCAAACATGACCATTTATTGACTATAGGCCTACTATCATAGATAGACCTGTCCTGTATTGATTATGAAATATCGATGGGCAGAGGACTGAAGCACATTCAACCAGAGTCGGAGGCAACTCAGTCATTTGTCCTCAGCTTGATCTGTCAGTGACACTTCTTATAAATAGTACACACATGCGAGAATAGGGGATGTGATATGCTGGGCCCATCAAATTTGGAGTCTCCATGGCATATAGACATATAATATACAGTACCACTTTTTTTGTAAAGCCTCCGACCACCCTTCCCAGAAGCTCTGTCCCTTTGACCCCACCCCCGACATCTGCCTTTTGCCAACCCATTATAAATCATTTCTGATGGGCCTGTAGTGTAATATCCGTAGGGTATAGGCTTTGTCCAAAAACTAAAAACCTTTAAAGGGGGGGGGGGGATATCGGCAGCATATCTGGTTTTGAAAAACACTGGCATCAGAAAATCCATGTTTCAAGTCAAGGGTACTCCAACCCGCTGGCAGTAAGACTATCTAGTATCTAGGCTACCTACTAATTATCCTATTGTGTGGCAAAAAATCGTAAATGAAGGACAGACAAACCCATTGTAATGAAGGGACAATAAGAAAAACACAAGAACTAGTTAAATTTGTTGAAAATGCTAGAGCAAGGTCACATATTTTTTTTAGAAAAATAATAAATTAGCAACACTATTTAATCGTTGAATATAAGTCTTGTATATTAAGTTCTATGATATGACATATCATACATTGCTGTAGCACCTAGTGCAATACCAGTGTTTTGCCTTTGGTGCATTGCTTAATCCAACACATGATTGATGAAACCAATTCAAACAACCATCACAGCCAATCTGGCCTTCATCAAGGTCATTGTCACAGACATGACAGCACCAATCAACTGTTTTTCATTGCCTGAAGAACAAGCTTCCACCCTGATTCCGAAAAGTACTTTTTGATTCTGTGGACATCAATATTTCTATCCCGGAAAGCATCGGATATTTGGTCTGCCTTTTTAATGTGAACTTCTGCTAGGGTTGTACCAATCAGAGCCATTTCAGCGGAGTGACTGTCAACAAACCATTGGAGCATAACTGAAAAATTGAAGAGATTCATATTTTATGTCCTATGTTTGTGTACTATTTATCAGGCTAATGCCAATCAGCATGCATAGATAAAATTCTATCATCACTATGGCTACGTCACTTTCTGTTATGTGGAACACATGAATACTCTGTTTATTACCATAGCTCGTGGAATTATAATTAAACTTCACCTTCTTTTAAAGTAAGTTTGTTTGAAAAGACTTCTCGCTTTGTGTTGCCACCACAAGGCTTTTAACATTGTTCTTTCTAGGCGCAAGAAAGTACCGTATTAAATAGTAATTAATAAAACCAAGTCTGAACAGGTTTGAAAAATTAAGAACAAACAAAAGCAAATAACTTTTTACTTCTAAATCCATTATTCTTCGATTCTCACCAAAAAGTCAACAAAAATGGCCATGCAAAAGGGGGCGGGGGAATGGATAGGGTGAGAAAGACTAAAAATAACTTTCGTCCTACATTCGTGCGTAGAAATATTTTGTGAGCTGTGACCATATGCAAGTCAAAAAAGGGGATTTACATAGGCTAAGCCTGTTCCCCAATCCCATTCAGACATCCTGAATAAAATATTGTTTATACAAAGAAAAGTCAAAAAAGAGGTGACGTAGGAGCAAGTTTAACGTATTAGAGCAGGTTATCCAGTTCAGGACTGCCGGAGTAGACTGGAATAACTAGACACCAACGACTGTCATTCAATTTGAACTGTTCGCGTATTTCGCCGAACATAACTCATTAGAAATTACAGTAAAGACAGAAAGGGTTAAATGTAAATCAGTTTATATACATTCATATTACATATCGAGACGTCGTAAAATATGGACAAAAAGAAACGAGGCGTTGTTGCAGGTTTTTGGTACTTCCACATCCGGATAAATTAGACCGGCAATATCGATGAATTCTTGACTGCACCTTTCTCTTTTGGTTTGAGGTAGTACGTCCTGTAAGTCTTGGACATTTATCGGGACATCGTAGTCAACTGTATTAAATATAGCTGTGGAGTAGAACATTATATCTGGTTTACCACTAATTACATCACAATTCCTCTGCTTTCTGATTATGATGTATATTCCACTGAGTTGTTATATTGTCTAAATCCGCCTGAAGTTAAGGCATAAAACAATATTGAAGACATTCTTTGTGAATTGGATCTCCATGGTTATAAATACCCGAATCTCGGAAATCTTTGAAAAAATTAATCCAAAAATCAGTGCATTGTTTGCGAAGAGTACCCCACCAAGACTCTATTCTCTGATTTCCTGTACTTTTGCCAGTTACAAAAGCTTCAATCCCCCGAAAAAGTATCATAATCATGCCTTCTAAAGTAAGGTTGTAGAATTTTAAAGGTAAACCACGGTTATTAGATCTATTTGATAAGCTCAACTTCAAGTTTGGTTAAAGGTCACGAGATGTAAACAAGGCTAGCGCTAATCCCAACCCTAACCGTTGACCTAGCTCCGTCGCTTACCCTAACTAACCTACAATCTCGCCAACAATCACGTGCCTTAACCTCATATACATCTTAGCGATGTTGGTGAAATTTGAGTTGGCCTGAACAAAAAGGTCTAGCCGGACAACACCGGGAGCGAACCAGCGTCTTACTAAGCCACTGTGACTCCCCAGTGTAACCATAAACACACATATTTTCTAAGTTGGCCTAATTCAAACACACTGGTAAACCCATCCCAGCCTGACGAGCCCAGTCAGTATGTCTATTTAATACACCAGGATAGGTCACGCCAATTGGATGCATCAATAGAGAAAGGTTATAATGTCACGTTGTATGACGTCAATAGAAAAAGGTTGTCACGTGGTATGAAATCAATAGAAAGGGGAATACCCCGATTAAAAATTCAAACCAACAAACACATCGCCTGGCTACAGTAGATCGTTAATATTAATAATTACTGATATACATTTCAACTGGCTGCACGTAAGTAGTATACTCAATACTAAATTCTAAACAAACATGATTACGCCAGACTGCAGTAAATATTAATAATTAGAAACGCAGTTAAACGTACATTATGCATGAACAAAATCTGCTTAATGCAGGTTATTCTATAGGACTGAAATGTTATCTAAATCATTATTTAAACATTAACTTATCCAGACCATAGTCAACTCTCGATGCCATCGCTAGTCTGCAATATTTACTGGATTTGAATCCGATCTGCTGCCCAACGATCATTGATTTAATCCAAAAATGGATAATCGAAACTATATTTTTTATCGTACTGACTTTACTAATGATGATCGATGCTAGGCCTAAAATTCAAAAGCTAATATCTCGGTTCAGAGTGATCAATTTGACTGAAATGTATATTGTCCTCGCCCCTGTCCGTCCACAATTGTTTGTCGACACTCTACAGGTCACAACTTTTATCCGATATCAACGAAACTTGAAATATAGGTTTATCTTCCTAAGATCTCGGGTGCTTTCGATATTGGCATGTATCGGACCGTAACTTCATGAATTATGGCCCCTGATTGTACGAAAAAACGCGTTTTAGCTTGTGGGCCCTATAGGGGTAACAATTTTATTCCGATTTAAAAACCGTTTAACTATATCACCGTTACACCGTAATCATGATTGTGTTCGAATTTCGGGAAAATCAGACCAAAACTGACGGACAAAATAACCGCCCCTCGTACGCTAATTGTGTAAAAATATGTCATATCAAGGTTGTCACAATTTTGATGAAACTTGAAATGCATGTTTATAACCCAACGATCTTGGTTGCTTTCGATATTTGCGCATATCGGATCGTAACTTCCTGAATTATGGCCCCTGATTGTACGAAAAATCACGTTTTTAGCTTGTGGTCCCTCTAGAGGTCATAATTTTTATCCGATTTAAAACACCGTTACACCCTAATGATGATTGAGTTTGAAATTCATGAAAATCAGACCAAAACTGCCTGACAAAATGGCCACCCCTCGTATGCAAATAGTGTAAATATATGGTATATAAAGGTTGTGGACCGCCTAAAAGACACAATTTTGATCCGATTTTGATGAAAATTGAAATATATCTTTATCACCCAAAGATCTTGATTCCTGTCTATATTCGCGCATATCGGATCGTAACTTCCTGAATTATGGCCCTTGATTGTTTGTTTAGCTTGTTCTCTATCCATTTCTTGCAAAATGTGGGCGTATCCTGCCTGGCAGCCGCTGGTTAACTATTATAGTGAGAACTACCAGCTCTTTATCTAAACTCCCATAATGCATCTGTAACATTAATAATTACTGATACACATTTAAACTGGCTGCACGTGAGTAGTATAATAAATTGTAGTGAAGTATAAATTAATGTAATGTGATGTGGTTTAAGGTACAGATGTGATATCACCCTTTGATGTTGGCGTACCATTACTTCAAATATTTACAGGCAACTTGCCTATCCTACATTTTTTATACTAGATGAAATATTGGACTCGCTTGACGTGTTTCATTAAAAAGCACGTGTCTGATAAGTGGTTTAATATTCTCGTTCAAGACATTGCATAATAATAATATAAAGATATAGCCCTCGGAATAAAGTCCTCCATCCTGGGTATCCCCAGTCGTCTCATCCCATTCCACCCTACTAACCCCTGAGTTCAAATTATCTGCCCTTGATGACTGTGCTATTTTTATCGACCAATCAAAAACCCGTTAAATGAAAAGGAAGTTGGTGAAGGGAAGTAACTCATTTTGTTGGATCAAACAAGCCGTCATATTGTTATGAACGTCGTAAGTGTATAGTAACGCAGTTATGTAGTCTGACTCCTAATATACAACTTCACTAGAATGGTTCCTCTTGTAAGAATCTAAGGCAGTATGACACATGCAGACATGCCTGGCCATCTGAAATAAAATCCTACATTATTATCAATCCAGTGTGTTCCTGATTATTTATTATCTATCAGAGAAAAACACAAAGATGGCATCTGGCGACAAGGGAACGCTAGATCGGAGACGGGCCTGCACATCTGACGTCATATGTGGATTGTGTTTTAGGGTTAGGCTTGGTCCAGCGTTAGGATGAGGGTTAGCGTTAACCACTCCCCCAAATACTTAAACCTAAAATGTGCAAGTCACCGATTTAGCGTTCTCCCATGCGGCAAGGATTTCAAGAAATCAATAAGCGAGGTAAATACGGTCCAGTTTGAAAACATTTTTCGAAATGTGATGTTTCATTCGACTGACAAAAAAACCCAAAAGAAGAGGAAAGGTAAACAATGACTTCTTTTCCCCCATCCCACAATTTGAAGAGGGAAGCGCTGGTCCTCGTTGGAAAAAATGGCTGATCGAGAAGATTAGAAAGACTGATGATAAGTTTGTATGAAGACTCAAGAAGAAAAGGTGCGCTTTTATTACATTATGCTGAACCGGATGTTGATATTTTCGAAACGCTTCCAAACACAGGTGAAGACGATGATTATGACCGAGCAAAAACTGTCCTAAAGCATATTTTAAGCCTAATTTTAGAGGGGTCACGGTTGCTAAGTGCGTAAGACGCTGGCTCGGTAGCCTGGATGTCGTGTGTTCGATCCCTGCATTGGCCGAGAAAGGTCATCCAGATTTTCCGACGTGGTTCTTCCTTGTCAGCGATGCAGGATGCAGGACGGAGGGCCTGACAAGGACAGCTGTCTAGTCGTTCGGATGACACGAAAAGCCGAGGCCCCGTGTACACATTGACGTACACGTAAAAGGTCAGTTGTTCGCTGTCCCTCATAGCACAATGTATGGCGTATGCCCGTCTTCATTGGACCAGTTCAGAGCAGAACAGTAGAACGTTAAACCCCATTTCATTTCATTTTATAATTTTATAATCTTTAGATTAGTTATTATCAATCAGAGAAAACACAAACATAACAGTAAGCTATGAGGCCAAGACTGGTGTTTTTAAACTGGTTTTTTTATTGGTGCGTAGAATCAAGCTACGGTAACGGGCAGATAATTTGAATACGTGTAAACCCCATGGATAAACCCAGTGTATAGCGGAGTAGAGCAGAATGAGACCATTGGGGATACCCAGGATGAAGGTCTTCGCGCAATATCAATATGTTACTTAATATCTCGCCCTGGGCCATTAAACCACATATAAGTTGGGTATAATCTGGGTGTATTGTAATATAGATTTTTAGTTTTGATTTTTTAAGTTTTAATGGTATTTTGTTTAATTCAGAACAATAATACAGGCAAAGGCGTAACATTAAAAATTCAGATAGATGGCTTACTGGATTTGCCGGAGAACAACAATTGTTATTTCATCCAAGGTATGGAACCAGAGCTGTTCAAACAAATAGGCATTTAGTACAGACACGGGTTGTGTAGATTTATCAAACAAAACACCACAAGCACTATGGGCAACCGTAAAAGTAAAGCACTGTTGGGATCATGTGAGATTGGTGATTATGATAGCATTGTGTCGTTGCTGAAACGCGGAGCGAACGTTGAATATACTGATTTATATGGTAATACTCCACTGCTTGCAGCTATCAAGAATCATGATTATTCCCCTGCCAATACAGAACACAGGGACAAGACTGTGAACACACCTTTAATGGTGGCAGCAAATAATGTAGATATTGTCAGATTGTTGATAAACAGTGGGTGCCAATTAAATAAGACAAATCGGTATAAAGATTCTGCACTACACCTGGCTGCCCGATTTAATAATGTTGAAGTGGTTAAATTACTTGTGAAAAGTGGTATTGATGTTACTCTAACTAATAAGAAAGGCCGGACCGCACAACACATAGCTTCCATGCATGGCCACGAAACAATTGGCAACATATTGGTATCCAACAGTCCTGCACGCCTGCTCCGAAAAGCATTGGTGTCTGGTGAAAGGGTGCTGGTCCATAAATTACTTGAACGCGTCGCTTCCTTGGATATTGCGTTACTAGAAATCCCTTACCGTACGAAGGATTCACTAATGGTGGAGATTTTAATAGAGAGATATCTGAACCAGGATTCCCCCACTTGCAAATGTTTGTTATTTTATCCTGTGGTGAAGTATCGTGACGTAAAGTGGACTAAAATATTAATCGAACGCGGTATTCCCTTCGATGCGTCGTTTCTAGACGTCGCTTATGCAAACCGAGATTTTGAAATGGTGGATACCTTAATCGAGAAGGGCCTGGAACATAATATTGATCAACGAAGTAGTAAACCAATGATAAATTATGCTGTGAAACATAGCGACCTAAAGCGGGTTAAAATATTACTTGAACACGGCAGTCACTTCGATATGTTGTTACTAAACGTCGCTTATATACACAACGATTTCGAAATAGTGAATATCTTGATAGAGAAGGGCTTGGAACATAATATTGATCAGACAAGTGGTACACCAATGATATATTATTGTGCAGTGAATAATGACCATGAATGGGTTCAAAAGCTGTTGAATCATAAAAGTTACAACTATATTCTAAATCGTGTATGGTTGTTTCTAGATCCGACCGACATTTCCAAAGCCACCAATGCGGTTGTCGACTATTTTCGTGTTGATAGGAATCCAATCGGGTTTACAACGTACGAATACTATCGATGTTTTTTTTCCGGTAGTACATCAGCTCAGTGTGCTTGAAGGGCAATTTTGCTACGGCCTTTTTTATTTCGAATTCCAAATGTCACATGACAGGAATTCATCACGAATAACTCAGAACAATGTTCTCATCTTGCGGCTAAGCGGAGTTTACACGATCGACTGACTCATCAGACAAATGGTCGGATGGACAGCTTGTGGCATTGATAGGATCAGTTCTATTCATGTCCAACTCATGCAATAGCCAATCAAATTGCGTTATATTAGACAACGCCATGTGATGTATGGCTTGGCAACCTGAATTCCTGATTAAAGATGTCTTTGACTGTCGCTTCGAGTACTTTGACGTCCTATAAAATTGATTCTAAACCTATCCGCGACTGAATTAGAATATTTAATAACTGTAATAATATTGCTAGAATTTCTGCTCTTGAAATTAATGGTGGCAGTATGTTTCATTAATTAATATCTTTGGCAAGTTAGTAATTTCAAATATATTCACATATGTAGTGTGTACTAAATCAACTTAGGGGTTAAATGACATATTGTTATATAAAAAAGAGTTATTTAGCCAAAACATGTGTCTATAAAATACCATCAGATATCACGTGCATGGAAATTTACCATTGCATCATTTGGCTTAATATAACAAATCATATCGTTAATTGCACAGGTTCAGGGCCATGATCACCCTTGTTTGTGCATGATATCCATAAGTCTTATAAAAGAAATCATATTAAACTTTTAATTCAGACTTCCATTAGATTCCAGAGAGGTTCCATTTGAGTTCCTAGACAGCCGTTAGGCTGGCTAGGGTGGGGAAATGGTTTTAGCTAGTATTGTTATGCTTGTGCTTGTATCCATATTATGCAGCTATATAGAGAATAAAATATAATCATTCATAAGTTGAGATTGATAGGATTATTAAATAATATAATATCACTGGTTAGGTGTGTATATTATCAGGTTAACATGACCTGTAGTAAATTAGAGTAAAATTAAAGTTAAATTGAGGGTCTCTAGGGCGTAGGTTTAAAAAAAAATGTTTTGATATAACTAAGGAATAATAATGATAAGGACACGGAATAGGGAATAAAATAAGGAACTAATGTTGTTTCCGGATCGCAGTAAAAAAAATGGCAAATCTAAGAATAAAGTTTGAGAGTGATTAACTCTAGTTTCCAAGATGGCCGTGTTTTCGACTATGATTCGTTAATTTGTGTTTTTTGTTGTTTCGTATATAATGTAATTTTCGGACTCTAGTCCAAAGTCTCAATATTTTAGTTTTAGTCGGGTTAGGCTAAAAAAGAGTAATTTTAACTTTTGAATAAAAAGTTGAATTGCTATTATTTGTCTTTTTGTGTTGTCCATATATGTGGTTAAATAAGTAGAGTAGTGTAATTTTGAAGCTCTAGTCCAAGGTTTCAAAATTAAGTAATTTGACTTTTGAATAAAAAGTTAGGTTATGGAAAAAATCCCATATAATTAAATATAGGGATGTAGGTTATAGTTTTCCTGGGGAAAAACTAAAATTATTGGCTCGTTAAATTGTGAGATTATTGCAAAGTCATTAATACGAGTTTAATACGAGGTTAAGGTAAACATACGACACTTTTTAGAAAAGTGGAGGTATACGGTAGATTTTATCCGTATATAATTTTGTGTAATTAAATTTTGCTTTAGAAACGTAATATAAACGTTAAATATATATTTGCTAAATGCTATTATGTCATTAATTAAATTTTGCTTTAAATTGTTAATGCGAGGTGGTTAGGAATGTGTAATTTGACATTAGGTCGGATTATTATAAACAATAGGTTCTAACACTGTGTTAAATTTGACGTTTGTGAAAGTCACAATATATAGGACTAGCAGGATACCCGGCTTCGCTCGGGGGTCATAACTCCGAAACCCGAAGTGGTAGACTAACGCCACCTTACCTATGTTACTCCCCGGTCCGAGCTGCCCCTATATCCCAAATTTCAGACTCGGGGCAGACCTAGTGTAGCCGCCAACCTCGAATAGACCGGCTTCGCTCGGGGTCATAACTCCGGAAGTGGTAGACTAACGCCACCTGGCATATGTTACTCCCCGGTCCGAGCTACCCCTATACCCCAAATTTCAGACTCGGGGCAGACCTAGTGTAGCCGCCAACCCTGAACAGACAGACTTTGCTCGGGGGTCATATCTCCGAAACCGGAAGTGGTAGACTAACGCCACCTGGCCTGTTACTCCCCGGTCCGAGCTACCCCTGTACCCCAAATTTCAGAGTCGGGGCAGACCTTGTGTAGCCCCCAACCCCGAACAGAACGGCTTCGCTCGGGGGTCATAACTCCGAAACCGGAAGTGGTAGACTAACGCCACCAGGCCTATGTTACTCCCCGGTCCGAGCTACCCTATACTCCAAATTTCAGACTCGGGGCAGATGTAGCCGCCAACCCCGAACAGACCGGCTTTGCTCGGGGGTCATAACTCCGAAACCGGAAGTAGTAGACTAACGCCACCTGGACTATGTTACTCCGCGGTCCGAGCTACCCCTATACCCCAAATTTCAGACTCGGGGCAGACCTAGTGTAGCCGCCAATCCCGAACAGACAGACAGACAGACAGACAAACGACAGTCACAAATATATATATAGATAGATATTTCTCAGTCAGTAATGTGACCTTTTGACCTAATCATATTAATCTACGATTTGGTATGTGAGCTAACACGGATAAAATTGTACAAACCAATCATACGTAGAAGAACAAAAAAGAAAGTTTTCAACTTGATATTATGGTAGCTGATACAGACCAATACAAATCCAAGAAGAAGAAATGGTTTACCAGTTTACCAAATTGAGATTTCCTGAGACAGAATTTAAAGTGACACTGAACTTTATAAAATATTACGTGATGTGTTTTGAAATTAGGACACTTGAAGATTTAACAAAGACAATTTGTGTTTTCTGTGCTTAGGCTTAGTGAATTTTCATAGGATTTTACAGTGATGAACTTTTTGGAGAGCTTTTGCATGCAACTTTTGATTTTTGATTATTTGTGTTTTTATTTCATAGCTTTGTTTTATGGTATAGTAAGCATATATATGTGCATGAATAATTATAGGGTTTAGTACATGGCAGATTTTAAGAGTCTCCTACCTCTTCATTTCGCATAAATCTTAGAAGACGGGGAGGTGATAATTATATATGTCGATTTTCGAGATTTCTGCTACATTTATGAATGCTTATATAACTCTACCTAATACCGAGCAAACAGTCTTTAACAGAGGGACGAATGTAATAATATTGCTGGAATTTTTGCTCTTGAAATTAATGGTGGCAGTATATTTCATTTATTAATATCTTTGGCAAGTTAGTAATTTCAAACATATTCACATATGTAGTGTGTACTAAATCAACTTAGGGTTTAAATGACATATTGTTCTATAAAAAAAAAGAGTTATTTAGCCAAAACATGTGTCTATAAAATACCATCAGATATCACGTGCATGGAACTTTACCATTTCATCATTTGGCTTAATTTAACCAATCATATCGTTAATTGCACAGGTTCAGGGTCATGATCACCCTTGTTTGTGCATGATATCCATAAGTCTTATAAACGAAATCATATTAAACTTTAAGTCAGACTTCCATTAGATTCCAGAGAGGTTCCGTGAGGCTGGCTAGGGTGGGGAAATAGTTTTAGCTAGTATTGCTATGCTTGTGCTTGTATTCATATTATGCAGTTATATATATAAAATGTAGAAGCGAACTGTTGCATTGTTATTCCTGGTAAGACACACGTCTTAAGAAAAGAGTAAGAAGTAAATACACAACGTGAAGCAGAAGTAAAGACAGCTAGAAACAAATATTCTAGACGATCACAAGGCTACAGAAATATGTAGTAAGAAAAGATGCATGAGTCGTACGTAGGATGTGGCGACCGGTTTCTGACATCGCCCGCTCTCCACGTCAAAAGACCTATGGTGCTACATTACATTGTATACGAAACATGGACTTTGTGGAGCCCGCGGCATCTACACCAAGACGGGGATGAGAAGCGTCGCCTTACTGCGAAATTATTGAGTTACTAAGAAGGAACAAATGTTAATGTTGCCATACAACGTATAGATTAGAAGTTTGAATCATTGTATTGTGTAAACAGTCGTCCAATATGTTGCATCCGACGGTTGTATGGATTGATTGTATCGTCTAAACGCCGCTTAAATGTATGCGGAGAGCGAAATATGTGTGTATGTTTGACACTCATACAACAGTGTATATTTAGCAAATAACTCAACTTTAGCAAGATTGTCAACTTTGGAACACTGTATCCACAGCTGAATTTCCAATGCCTAAAAAGGCACAGATGTATGTTCTTTCTAAACCTTAGAGCTTATTTCTTACCCCATAATATGTTGTTCTTAAATCGTATAATAGAACACAAATGCTTTTAACAACCACATTGTTTAATCGCGGGTGTTAGTGACATTTTAAAACGTTATATCTTTCAAATTATTTTGAGGAATCCATCATATCAAGTATGCTGGAAAAATTTGATTGAAACAAAATCCCCATAAGGCAGAAGAAACCCTGAACTACTTAGCGCTAAGCTAAGAAAAATACAAGGCATGCCGACAAGTTGAATTCCATATTTTAAAGAACCCCTTTGTGTATCAGTGCAGCTCGTCAGAAATAATGTCATTGTGTTTATTTGTTGTATATGGGTATAATTTGGGGGTTTATTCCCTCGAAGGCACAGTTATTGACCGTAACGGATTAAAGGAGGTCGTTTTCGACGCCTTCGTGGGAATCCAGCTCCTAGGGATTAAAATGGATTAAAAATGTAACAATGGAGTTATAGATTGTTATGATCAGAATTTACACTTTCACAATCTCCAATGTGATTAATTAACTAACATTTTAACACGTTTGGAATAGGACTTTAAGAAATAAAAACAAATTAATTTAATTTCACCAAATAAGACACCCTGTCGAAATACTCGACTTAAAGTAGCCAAGTCTCTAACTCAATATCATCCAAAATCTTCTACATTGCAAACACGAATTATTTGTCAATTTAAATCAACGTTGATGTTGTGAACTTACGGGGAAAAGATGGGCTTCTGATAACCAATAATTAAGACAAAATAAACATTTTACCATTGGTACACGAATACAATGAACTCGTAGAACGAGGCTAGATATATCCCACAAGTCATGTCAAACGGTGACGTTATGTTCTTATTTGGAAAGCATGCACAATAAACACTATTGGTAAAGAGTGGAAAAAACAGACGCTAGAGATTGTCACTCGATTGAGACTTCTGGCGTATTTCACCGAACATAAGTGATTAGGAATTACAGTAAAAACAGAAACGATTAAATGTCAATAAGTTTATATACATTCACATTACATTATTATATGCGTTGCGACCCATTTGTGTCAATTTCTAGATCCAAAATATTAGCGATTTAGCTCCTTTATGTTAATTCCTCTTCTTCGGGTCTACTTTTTCATTTCTGGAGCTGACTTTAGATTTGGGAATGTTTATATTAAGATTCATATTGAATACTTGGATGATATGATGATTTTCATTATTAGTTGCCAATTGGTGAATAAAATTCAGAGTGAACATAAATTCACAAAATCTTTAACACCGTTAATTGGGTCCTAACAACAGCATACCCCCCTTTAAACGAAAGACGACAAGTCAAGATCTGCGCCTGTTTTTATACACCCACATTTTCATGTGGACGTATTATACCGTCGCCCCTGTTTGTCCGTCCGTCCGTTCACAATTTGTTTGTGGACACTCTACAGGTCACAATTTTTATCCGATTTTGACTAAACTTGAAATATAAGTCTATCTTCCAAAATCTCCGTTCCTTTCGATATTGGCATGTATCGGACCATACTTCATTGATTATGGTTCTCTGATTGTACGAAGACCACGTTTTTAGCTTGTGGATATTCGAGAGGTTACAATTTTCATCTGATTTTGATGAAACTTGAAATGCCTGTTTATAACCCAAAGATCTCAATTCCTTTCGAAATCGGATTGTAACTTATTGAATTGTGGTCCCGGAGTTCGAATTTCGTGAAAATCGAACCACAATTGCCGGTCAAAATGGCCGCCCTTGTACGCAAATAGTGTAAAAATATGGTACATCAAGGTTGTGGACCCTCTAGAGGTCACAATGTTCATCCGATATTGATGAATCTTGGAATGCATGTTTATATCCCAAAGATCTTGGTTCCTTTCGATATTCGCGCATATCGGATTGTAACTTCCTTAATTATGACCCTTGATTGTATGAAAAATCGCTTTTTAAGCTTGTGGTCCCTCTAGAGGTAACAATTTTTATCCGATTTAAAAAAAACCGTTGGGGTATTTCACCGTTACACCGTAATGGTGGTTGAGGTCGAATTTCGTGAAAATCGGACCAATACTGCCGTTGTACGTAAAGAGTTTAAAAATATGGTATATCAAGTTTGTGGACCCTCTAGATGTTACAATTTTAATCCGCACATCGGATCATAACGTACGAAAAATCGCGCTTTTAACTTGTGGTCCCTGTAGAGCTCACAATTTTTATCCGATTTAAAAACAAAACGTTTTGATATAACACCTTTACACACTAATGATGGTCGAGGTCGAATTTCGTGAAAATCGGACCAAAACTGTAGGGACAACAAATTGCCCGCCCCTTGTACGCAAATAGTGTAAACATCTATTACATCAGGGCTGTGGACCTCCTAGAGGTCACAATTTTGATGAAACTTGACATGCATGTTCCTTTCGATATTCGCGCATATCGGACCGTAACTTCCTGAATTATGGCCCTTGATTTTACGAAAAATCTCGTTTTGAGCTTTTGGTTCCTCTAATGGTCACAATTTTTTGTGATTATACCACAGGTATACACTAATGATGGTGGAGTTCGAATTTCTTGCAAATTCAGTGTGCTATGACGGAAATTTTGCCCGGACAACGGCAATACGACCTACTCTTATATCGAATTCCAACTGTCAAGGGATCTTTTACGTTCACGCCAAAGTGTACATGGAACCTCGGTTTTCCGTCCCATCCGAACGACTCGACAGCTGTCCCTGTCAGGCCGCCTGTCAAGCCACAAATACAAGGGTAAACCATCTGGGTGACTTTTCTCGGCCAATTCAGGGATCGAACACCCGACCTCCAGACTGGAATAATATAATATAATATAATATAGGTTTTGACCCCCAACCAATAACTAACAGACAAGACTGTCTGCTAGAAGTAACCAATAGCTAACAGACAAGTTTAGACAGACAAGATTGTCTGCTAGAAGTAACCAATTGCTAACAGACAAGAATACATCTAGGTCAAAATATTCACCTCTTAGCACAATGGATTGATCTGTTCTAATCACGTTAGTGATCAGTTCTATCCAATGGTCACCCACGATACTAATTTATAGTAGAAAACACATAATATAACAAAAAGAAACGAAACGAAATGCAATATTAATAGTAGATTGAACCTTACAATTCAGCCAGAAGTTATTAATGTGCTAGGAAAATGTTTATATTTTCTTAAAAATAATAAATTGTTCTTTTAAATGGTATGTGATAATATAATATACTTGTAATTTGCTTTTTCATATTTCATTTCGCTGCGACAAGACAGCATCCTATATCAATACGGCCTCGATATCTGCTACCCAACCCCTCGTGTACCTTACAATTCACCCTGTAGATGTTAATGTGCCGGGAAAATGTTTATATTTTATAAACGATAATAAATTTCTCTTTTAAATGGTATCGTCTACTGCTGCCCCATCCCCCACAACCCACTCTTATACCTTAATATTCGCCAAGAAGATATTAATGTGCCAGGACATTGATTATATTTTCTGTAAGATGATAAAAAGTTCTTTTAAATGGTATATGATAATATACTTGGAATTTGATTTTTCATATGACATTTTGTTGCCGCAAATAACAGCATCCTGTATAAATATACCGCCTCAAGGTCTGCTACCTCACCCCTCTTATACCCCACAATTCACCCTGTAGATATTAATGTGCAACATCATATTCGCAATTTGATTTTTCGAGTAGCATTTCGCCGCTGTATAAATATCGTCTCGATGTTTGGCACCTTCCCACCCTTATCGTTTCCTTATATTCATCAAGGTATTATGCCAGGAAATGTTTGTATTGTATTGAAAACTATAGCTGATGTAAAGTACTCCTGTCTGTCAACAATTTGGCCTTCGGCTTGATAGGGCTGCTGTTACAATGCAATGTTTTTAATTTGATGTCAAACAATAAAGTAACAATAGAAAGAATAATGTCGCCCTTCATATTTTAACGCGACAATACGACATTTTCACCCGACACCACGACACTGAAAATGTCGTATTGTCGGTTTAAATTGTCGTATTGTCGGATTAAAATATCGTGATGTCTGCCGAGGTTTGCCGAGTGGCGTCCCCCTGTCTGTAGTGCAGGACAAAGGAACCGGTAGAGAAAAGTGTCTGTGTAGATGGGACAACACATGCTCCTGTGTACATTGGCGTGTACATAAAAGATCCCTTCACATTGTGAATTCGGTGAAGAAATGCCACTGTACAAAGAACATGTCTCTTACCTTGTGAATTCGATGAAAATGAAAAGGGATTTAACGTCTTACTGTTCTCCTCTGACTAGGCTAATGAAGACGGACGTTAAACCCCACTTCATTTCATTTAATTTTCCTATACTTTTCTGCTGCAATCAGACTA